CATAATTGCCACCAATTGTAGCATTTCACCGACGGCTGTTACCGGGATAGTTTTGGACATTTTGGTATTTAAAAAATAAAAATGCGAAAAAAAAATCAGCGATATTCATAAGTTACCAATCGTTTTGAACTAAACAATTTGCCAGCTATTGAAGCAATTACCTAAACTCAAGCAAGTCGCTGCCTTTAAATGAAAATTTTTTTTAATGAAAAAATAGGTTATTGGAATGAAAAAACCTACTGGAAGCAAGACGCGGACAAAACAGCATCTGAAAAATGATTTCATACAAAACTCTAGCTCTTGTCACGAAAAATAAAATATATTTCAAAACTAATATCAGTTTTTTTCTATAGGTTAACGGTCATGTTTGTAAAGACCATCTCACTATTTGACTGAAAAAACTACAGGATAAGCGTATTTTTTCCGCTCAATTTTATATATGTCAGGTTAAGGAATCTACTTCTGTTTCGCCTCTCAAGAGATGCCTAAAAACGAGCCGTATCGTTGCTTCTTACGCTTACTGTCGAGGGGTGTCGTGGCTATGAAACAAAAGGAATAAGAGAGGAGGTTAAACTTTGAGTTGCTGTCAAGTTGAATCTCAATTTCTTGTGGGATAATTTAGCACTGCAAACAGAATTGATTTAAAAGATCTTTAACTACTTGTACTTTTATCCGGATCGGCTACCCTTCCAGTTGGGAAAAAATTTGATTCCATTTTATAACCCAAACTCAGAAAAAATTATCGGCATATTACGACAAATTGTTGAGAAAAAATTTGAAAAATCAGTTTTGACTGGACTCATCAGGACTGAAGTAATCCATAACAGACTGAACTAACCCATTTACAGATGAAGAAGAGCTACCAAAATGATTAATCAAAGTATGAAACTCGTAAGGAACAATCTCACCCATATTCAGTTGTTCCCAGTGTCGCACAATCATTTTCTCCCAATTCAGGCACCTTGTTTTTTGAAACGCTAAGTTGAAATATCTGTCTGTAGAATCCCGGGGCAAACAAGCACAAACATCAAACATGAAGCATCTACTTTTAAAATTTATCAGAACATATTGGTTAATTACAGCTATTTGCTGTGATTTGCTAGTCATTTGCAAAATAGCGAGACCCTTCTCCTCACATTTGCTTTTTCGAGATTGTACTGTATCATATATGCAACCTAAAAACATAGGTCGAGTACCTCAACCCGGGCTGCAGACCTAACTTAAACTTAGTCTCAAGTTTGCGGACAAGCTCAGAACAATAGGGTGGCTTTGCCATTATAGCCAGTAGATTCAACACAATATTTTAGGTTTCAAGGCTGTAAAGGGGGTGCTATAATTGGAAAGAACCCAATTGGGGCATGGGATAAAGTAAGAAATTTCTGAGCAGAAGTTTCTGACCATTTGATGAGCAAAAGTATGAAACTTCTCGGTATTTTTTACAGACTTCTAAATTATGGATTACTTAGTTCAGGATACGGGTCTTTTCTAATACGCAGTCCAAAATTATTAAAAAGTTGAATGAGCTTAATAGAAATTAAGCTTTAGATTAACTTCGCATAAGTTAAGTTCATCCTATCAGAATCAGGCATTATGATCCAATTCTCAAAATAGCAAAAAAAAATGAATTTTGAGCCGTATAACAGAAAAGACCTTTGAATTTTTATCACTAAAACGCTCCCACTTCCATAGTTTTTTTATTTTTGTATTAATTCGAAATTTAACATATCACTCGAAGTTTCCAGAAACTATTGCTTATCAAACAGGAAGATATTTTTTGTTTTATTATGTTCAGAATTCTCATCTTAAATGTCTGGATTTCATTTTTTCCTGAAAGTAACCTAATTAGCAGGCTCCAAAGAACTCAGCTAGAAGCCGAATGTAGCGAAGTCAGTGAATCAAGTTAACATCCTCCGTTTGGGGGGAGGATGTTAACTTGGTTCTAAGTTAGGAATTTCCAGCCAATCAGAATCGAACATTTTACAAGGAGCACTCAGCAAATTTAATGCGAATTAAATGCTGGGGTGAAAATAACTCAACTTGTTAAACTTGGTCTGTCTGGGGGAAAATGTTAATAAATCAGCAGATAATTGTTCAAAATTTAATTTATTAGAGCGGCAGAGAGAGCAGAATTTGTTGGACAGAGTAGAATTTACTTATTTGAGACAATTTACAAAGAAAGCGAATATTTGATGTATGAGCTTCTAATAGAAAAATTTCCAGTTATGAGAAAATGGAAAATGTTTCAATTCTTGTTGATCAAAAATTAATCAATTTGTTCAAATTTCTGAGGCAAAGAAATGGAAAATTTATAATATAAGAGCTTTTGATAAATTTCAAGTTTTATCTAAAAGCCCGAAAAATTACCTCATCCCGGGCTGACGTCCATAGAAGAAAAATGCTTATCATACAGTTTCATACATGAAGTCTATGGTAAAAGTGCTGATCATACAAAATTCATACAAAATTTAAAAAGTGTTTTAAAAACTTCTAATGAACATTTTTGGTCTATTTGCCTCTTTTGAAGCTTTCTGGTCATTAAAAAAATGATTTAAAACTTTCGATAAAAAATGCTTATCATACAATTTTTATGTATGAAAAATATAAGATAATCATTTTGTCATAGAAAAAATAAAGTTTTCAAAAATCACCAAAAAACGTGTCTGTGTAACGTGCCTGTGTAAAAAATTTAAATAAGTATATCTATGGTAGAGGGAATTTTGACTATCAAAAACATATTTTTAATTTCGGTCGGAAAAAATGCTTATCATGTAGCTTTCGTATATGAAAATTGTATGATATGCATTTTTTCATAAACAAAAACACAATTTGAGGTAAAAAAAAGTTTTTAATCCCTTTTTTGGTTGCAAACTTGCTTTGCGCTTTAATATAACATTTACGAAAAAAAAATTTGCACGCAAAATTTGACTTTTTGAGTTTATAACGTAGTGCACGATGAGGTTTTGACCCTAAAAATCCAAAAATCATAAAAAGTGTTTTTTTTCTAAAAACGATTATTATTTTTTTGCTATGATAAAAATAAATTTGTGAAAAAACTGGCTTTTTTCTCTATCTTATAATTCCATGTGAAAATGTTATAGTTCACATAAATGGCTAAACTCACCAAATGCAGTTTATTTGCGTGGCAACTGCCAGTTACCCGGGTTGAAAAAAAATGCTTATCATACTCTTTCACACAATTTCATAGAGTCAAAGCAATTGTATGATGGACAATACTCTGGAATTAAAATTTGAGCTTTTTCATCAGTCTTCTTATCCCCAAAATTGCATGAAAATAGCATGATAAGCAATTTTTCCATGCTATGAAATTGTATGATAAGCATTTTTTCCATACTATGAAATTATAAACTTCATGAAGCAGCGAAGCGGAATCATTTTCGTTGTTTCATATTTTCAGCTAGAGTGCAGCAGAGTTTTACCATGTCCAATTAGAGAAATAAATTAGACAAATATTCATGAAAAAATTAATTGCAATAACTCATCATATTGGCACTGCTAATAACAAATTGATACATTTCAATCTTCGAAATGGGGGACGACTTTTAGTAGACCGACATTTTACCAGGAGAATTAAAACCTAGGCCTTTCAATGGACTTGATAAACAAACTTGATTGACAGATACAGTGGCGCAATCACTGTCTCGGAAATAATTATCTCTTCGCTTCTATGCAAAATCTTGCACATTTCAACGGCCGTGTCCCTCATGTCAAACCCAATCGAAAATTCAAATATCTCAGAGAAATGAAATCGAAATAAAATAAATGTTGACCGATTAGAAAATAAGCAAATACAGGAAATTTTATTTGTAGTTTTTATGAATATGGTCGGAACTTTCTGGCCTACTTGCACAGCAGCCGGCTATCCTTGGTGACCTTTTTTGTTCTCCTCGAGAAATCAGGTACCATAAATAATTATGGGAATAGGTTGAGTGATATATCATATTGAAGCCCTTTCAGTCGCCATTCGATTAACATTTACAAAACTTTAAAAAAATTCCTTGTCGCGAAAAACCAGTTTAAAATTATTGATTTTCGACCTGATTTTGATCAAAAATCGCGCGCCGAAAAACCGCGATTTTTTGGTCCCTCGAAAAATTCCTAGATTCGCGCCTGGGTTTTGTACTAAAACTGTTTTCCAATTGGCATCTTTTACTATGACTGCCGAATGTGCCTAAGTTTTAATCGCATCACGCAGAAAAAAAAACATTGATTTGAAAAAAAAAGCTTTTTTGTATTTTTTATGAGTATGGTCGGAACATTCTGTGCTTCTTGCACAGTTACTGGCAATCCTTGTTTTACATGGGAAAAAGTTCATCATATTATAGAACTAATGGTTTTGAGTTCAAAAGTCTGACTCATTCTCTTGGCACTTCATTTGTTGTTCATATCTCATTTCGAGACTGTGGATTCTATATTGTACATTCTTGATCTTGTCAGTGAGGTTGGCTCCCTTTCTTTCTTGGCAATATTTTATTTCAGGTGGTCGTAGAGTGAAATTTCTTAGTGCCGAAAATGCAGATGCACTCGAAGGATGAGTCTGTTAATCAGTAGAACCCTTTAAAATGTAACATATTCTATTGTGGTATCCGTTGGTATAGAAGCTGGCGATTAAGGATCTATATTGGATCTATATAGAAGCTGGTGATTAAGGATCTAGATGGCGGTTATATTTAGCATCAGCGATATTGAGGCAGTCGTCGTGGAACATTTGGTTGAAGAGCGCAGAAAGGTCCGTCTTTGAGAAATCATGAAATTTGCCATGCTCAACAAAAACCAACAAAATCGAAAACTTCAATTACGATTTAATTGAAATTTTTGATTTTCCTTCTTCAATTTCATCGTAGTTTCAACTGCCAGTTGTTTACTTCTATCTGCTTCGTTTTTTGTTTCAATCTTTTCAATAATAAAAAAAAGCCCTTTTATAGGGATTTGTCTTCGAACCGCCCTTATTAGCCAATCAGATTTGAGTATCTCTTCGTAGTTTTAAACAGTTGGACAATCAATTTTCAAAACTCCGGAAATTCCCTCAGAAACAGTTTGATTCTATTAGAAATTTATAAACTTTTAAAAATTTATTTATTTAATAAAAACTTTTTTTACTTCAAACCCAAACAAAATGTTACAAGGACAAGAGGCTTTGCAATTAGTACTTGAGAATATTTCGACAATGACTACCGGTACTTATGGATCAAGCAGAACGAGGCCCACGAATGCGAACCAATTCTCAGTTGGAACTTTCTACAATGTAGTTGAGAAAAACACTGCGCAGAGAGACAGCCAGTTGGCGAAATTTGACATGAGAAATCCAGCTCCTGGTAGCAGCAGTCCAGTGCCGAATGTGACTGAGCATGTGACTGTGCCGTCTTCCGAACATGTAGCCGAAATTGTTGGCAGACAAGGTAAGTTTTGAACATACAACATCAATCTGATTTCAGTGAGCCTTTTTGAAGAGTTGTCAACGTAGTTCAGATTCATTATTTTGTTGCGATGATTTTTTATTATTGTGTCAGAACCAGTCTCAGAATTGATTTAGGCTAAAGTTTTCGCGGTTTGACTTTGATTTAAGCTGAGATCATTACCCTACTATCGTACCGCAAAACTGTAAAGGTAGCAAAAAATGTGATGGATTGCAAGTTTCGATTGCAAGATCGAGTTTAATTTCAGCTTTCTGAGCTGAATTAAGTTTACTTTTTGATCTAGTTTTCTCATTGGGTTGACTTAATCGAAAGTGTCAATCAATTTTTCTTGAAATTCAAAGAGCTTCAAGGCCATCTATTTGTATTGACTCTTTTTAACTGTCTGTTGGCTACGCTCTATTTAATATAGAAGTGTTTTCCGCTAGGTTGCAAAATCAAGGCCCTGAGAAACAAGACGAATACCTATATCAAGACACCAGGTAGAGGGGAAGATCCTTTATTTGTGATCACGGGGCAAAGAGAGAGTGTTGCCTTGGCTGTTCAAGAGATTCATCAAGCTAGTGCTCATTTCACAAACATAAGGGCTCAAAGAAATAAAGGACTTGCGCCTCCAGCTCTCGAGGGACACGTCACTGATAGGGTACGGCAAAATTTATCTCTTTGTATTAATCCTCATCAACTGCTTTTGACAGTTTCAAAAGTAGCTTTATTAATTCAACTCCGTAGTTGCTTGAAATTTTTTGTCATTAACCGTCTAATTAAAGTAGGTCCAAATTTTTTAAAGATTTTATTACTGGTTCGATGATTGCTGTCAAAATTTTTTGAGCAACTGCGTAGTTGGGAACTACTATGATAGTGGTCCCTCGAAAAAGCAACTATGATAGGCAGGTCACGCATGCATTTCGCATTTTATAATTTTGAGAATTAATTTCGCATAAATTATTCACTTCAACAATCTCGCGGAAATATGTTAAAAATTATAATTACTGTATTGTTTAAAGATAAAAGTTTGCTCGCTTCACTTTATTTTACGATTAAACAGGCATATTTGGATCGACTTAATTCGTTATTTGTCATCAAAACCCACTTGGAGTGTTTTTAATTTTCAACCTTTAACTGGCGAGGGAGAGGTTTTAAGAAGAAACAAAACAAAAAATTTGTTTGTAAGCATACTGCGACATTTTTCTGAATGGCGAGATCATGATTGTTGAACGACTTGAAAGCTCTGTGTCTAATTCTCAAGGGACCGCTCTATCATAGTACCCGTAGTTGAAATATTCAAGCCAAAAAGATCAACTAGAATTTTTTGAAAGAATAGATAAGTTCCGTCTTTATATCTTGATATGGAAAGTTTCGTCGATGAGAATCATTATTCGTAACAAGGCATATTTAAGATAACATCAGCCGTATTTTGAAAGTCCTAAAAACATTCCTCAACATCAATATAAATTATGAAATATGAAATTCTATTTTACGAATTCCCAAGAATTTTTTTTGACTGGGTGAAGTGATGAAAAGAGGAGTGAACAAGCTTTAACCTGACAATTTCTGACCTGATTTATTTATTAAGAACGGTTTCTTGAGTGATGGCAAAAATATGGGAAATATTCCGAAATGTAGCGTTGAGGATTGCTGTTGATTTTTGACAAATCGGAGATATTTCTGCAATGATTACGGGATTTTGCCATATGTAAAGTTCGTGTTATCTTTCAATTATTTTCGGCTTTAAAGCAGTAGAATTGTTTTGGGCGCCCAATTTTACATAACCTAAGTTGAAAGTTTTTGTTGGAAGTTTGAGCATATAGTTTTGATTTTGTTATATTTGATTTCTTTGTAAATTCATTACCGAACAGCAAAGCATTAAACAAAAACGTGATCGAATTATGGTTTCGAAAATGGATTCTTATTGTTAAAAACTTACCTAATGATCATACTATCTATTGATTGATCCAGTTTTCTCATTGAATTAATTTATCACAAAAGTGACAATCATAAGTTTTTCTGAATTTCAAAAAGCTTTTGAGGCTGCACTTGAGTTCAATTGACGTAATCAAACACTCCAAATACGAACGTGGAAATGCGCGAAAAAACGTGAACGATTTCTAGTTTCGAAAGTGGAATAAAAACTAACTATTGATCCAGTTTTCTCAAATTGAGTTCATGTTATCAAAAAAGCGCCAGTCATAGATTGTTCTAGAAATTCAAAAAGAGCTTAAAGGGCAAGCTATTTAATTTGAAATTGAAATTGGAAATATGAGATTTTTTTTATTTACTTGCGTTCATTACTCTTTTTCCAATCTTTGATTGGCTATGTTTTACGTTGAATTTTGTTTAAGAAACAAGATGTTTCTTTTGCGCTCATCGATTCTTTTCCAAATGTCTGAATATTCTTGTAAACTTTTAGGAATGATTTTTTCAACAAAATAAATTAGTATCTAAAATCAGTAGAAGCTTGGCGATGTCTATGACCGCAATTTTCCGTGAGTTTTTCCTAATTCCTATTTTGGCGCTGTTTAATTTTTCTCGTTTTCTGCTTGTCATGATAACGTATAAACAAAATTTCCCGAGAGCTGTTGATCTAAAAGGAAGTGACTTTCTTTTAAGGTCAAGTTGTTCAGTCAACGCTCAATTTCGATAGTGGTTTCTTTTCAATTGGAAAAGCAGTCTCTAAATAACGCTCTCCTGAAAAATAGCATGGCAAGAAAACGGACCTTGACAAGTGACGGGCCCTATAAATACCTATCATTTGGGTTACTTTGTCAAAAATGTTAGGCAACGTTCTAAGATAAGGGTTGGAGAGTTTTGGGGAGAGATACCTCTATTTTTGTTTCCTTGTTCTATTTGGCTAGGCTTCAATCTTGCAGACTGATTTTAGTGGAAACCGGCTCAAGTAAAGTTGAACTCAACCCAAAGAAGGGATTTTAGGGGCTATTAATAATTCCAGTCTTTACGTGACAGATATCTGACTAACGTAATTTCGACCACCTGGAAAAGAGCGTTTGAAACATTCGGCGTTTATTTTGAAACGGTGTGGTTCCCCTCTGAGTCAGTAAATGTCCGGAAACAAGGTCTGGCTCGATCTTTGAAGTTGACGGCTTTTCCTTATAAGGAGTGTTTGTTTGATTTATAAGTCATGGATTACCCAAATAGTCTCGCTCCATAGGAGATTCTGTGGTTTTAGGCCGAAATTAAAAGTTGTCAATTCCATTTTTATTGTTTCATTAATTCGAACATTTGAGGTGCGCACATTGTATATATTGATCAATCGGCCCGTAATAAAGACTAATTCATACCAAATGGCAACATACATGGCTTAAATCGAGTTAAAAGGGAATGGGTCGTTTCACGGCCTCGGCCGGAGGAATAAATTAATGCCCTCTCGGAACGTAAATAGTTTTCTGGGTCTTGATCTGAATTGAACCGCGAATGTACAGAAATGAATCTTTCAAGTGGTATAAACTAAACATTAGCGCTTTGATCGTGTCATGTTTACAGGGACGTTTCTTTTATCTTGCCGTTGTTTCATGTCCTGTTTTGAACCGAATTTATCCGTTGGCCGAGAGATTTTGAAAAAAGATTGTAACGAGCGTAATGCATAGCCAAATCATAGGCTAATGTAAGGTCTTGTCTGAATTTTTAATGATATATAATTTAAAAAGATTTTTAAACTTATAACTCTTAAATTATCTTTTGTAGAAAGGGATAATTGAAATAGCGATACAGTGGATATTCCTGTTGCGGTTCTTTTGTCTTCAAGTAGATAATCTGGCTCAAAACGAGACGCCAATTAAGTAAATTGTTCGCATAATGACTTAAATGTTTTTTTGAGGCCCCTGTATAATAGTTATCCCGCTGAGATGCAGAACGTAGAAGGAAGGAATGGTAGCTAAGTTAAATTCACTATGTAAACATTGCTTTCCCGTGACCCATAAGTAAATACCGGAACTTGCTCAGTCCTCTTTAACAACGGGACCGTGAAGCAATTTAGTTCAATTATCTAATTATTTGGCGCAATAGCCTCAATTAATTGGGATTAATTCTTAAGTGATCTTAACTGTAAAGGAATGTGATTAACTTATCATCCTGCTGCAACTTTCGAGCAGGAATTGAGAATAATTTCAGGGGAAAAAGGAAAGCATGAGTGATTTGATTTTTGCTTCCCAGGTGCAAGTACCATACAGAGTCGTTGGCTTAGTCGTGGGACCGAAGGGACAGACGATCAAACAGATCCAAACCAAGACTTCCACCTACATTGTCACTCCAAGCAGGGAAAGGGAACCTATCTTTGAAATAAGCGGTCTGCCGGAAAATGTTGCCAAGGCCAGAGAGGAAATTGTGAGCTACATCACGGTGCGAACTGGAATGTTCTTGGAGGAAAGCGCCATTGGACAGCTGACTTTCAACGGTGCTTCAAACAGCGTGAGTTTGACTGGCAAGACTCCGACTGGAATCTGGAATCCTTCCAAACAGGATATCGATGAATTCGAAAGCGTATCTGACGCTTTGACAAGTGCAATGAGCGGGCTTTATGGAGACAGCATGACCGCAAGAACTACACAAGCAAGTGTGCGGCCGTTCACTGGAAGACCCATGACAACTTTAACTAATGCGATCGTTTCTTGTTCTGGAGTTAGGACCTCGGCGGGGTCGAGGCGAGAAATGGAGTTCAGCGACGAAAACCGAGATCCTCTCAGAAGCACCGAGTTCAGGGCTGCGACTGAGTCGATCTCGAATCTGCTGAAAAGCCCAATGCAACTGCAAGACTTGAACATTAACACATACAACCCTTTCAATTTGGACAGCGGAGCCTGGCTGCAGCATAGAATCAACAGGAATGAGTCACCGGCTGAACGAGGAGAACCGTTGTCACGAAACTTGGGAGCGGATTTTGACTTCGCAAGCATGCCTTTCAGATTGAACGATGCAGCCAAAATAAGCCCACTAAGCAATGACGGGTCTCAGCACTCTGACCCAAGCAGCGAGTCCAGTGGAACTAGTCGGGGGTTCGGCAATGGGAGTCCATCCGGTTTGCACCCAGCAGTTTCTCGGATTGCCGATCCAGTAGCGAGCAGCTTCGGTGTTTTCATGCCATTCGGCAGTGAAGTTAGCTCTGCTTCTGGACTGCATGACGCTATTGGAGCCAACACTTGGGTGCTGTCTCCTCCCAGGCTGACCTCACAAGTGCGCAAATCTCAGCCGGATGTTAGCAAGTGTGGTATCGGAATGTGCAACGAGAGAATTAACTGCACTTTTATTCCGTGCGGACACAAGACGCTGTGCTATGGCTGTGCCAAGGAATACATTGGACTGCCATGTCCCTCCTGCTACGACATCGTGAAGACTGCCTTGAGAACCTGAACAACTTTTTAGTCACTCCTTTTGAAGTGTATTTGAAATCTTGATCTGATTTTAATATTGACGTTTTGAAATTATTTGACATGAAAACTGAATCTATTTAAATGCTGCTTTATGTATGTACGTTGCATATAGTATTCTATTTGACATAATTTGTGTCTGTGCAATCAAAATTTCTTATTCAAAGCCCCGAAAAGGCTGCAGTATCAAGTGCCTTAAATTTGTACCTTATTAAAGAACGGATCTACTTAATCAAATCAGTGCTATTTCTGTTGTACGTAAATTAAACCTCACTATTCCTTGCCATTCATAAAAGCTTCTATGTTACGTTCTGTTATGTTGATACGAAAGTTTTATATTTACCAAATTAAATCTCTGTCAAAAATGAAACGATTGCTATTATTGCCAAGTATGTATTTATGCACAAGTATTTAATTTGAATGTGAAGTCATATTCATATTTTAAACCACTGTTCAATATTAAAAATCTGCCTTAAACGAACTTTTACCCTATTTATATTGAATTCAGAAGTGATTTTACAAAAACTTTTTGAATCAGCATTGAAAAAAGATTTCAAGCTCTAAACTCGGCATTTGGGTCACCTGTACTCACCAACACCACCTGTACACACACAATCTACAAAGTGTAACGTATAAACGAAATAATTTCATTGACTACATCGGAACATACAAGCCATAATAAAACCTCAAAAGCTGTTTAGGTTCTCTGTTATCGTAAATAATCTTCAGAAAACATCAATTACAGTAGAGACGGAAAAATACAACGCAAACGTTTCACCAACCTATTTAGTTGACTAAAACTAAGTAGACTCAAACTAACAGTTGAAACCAGAGACTTCAAAAATAAGCTGTGCAGGCGATTGATTTTCCAGAAAGTTTGGAATATTTACTTCCACAAACCAAATTTGTCGCAGCAAATACACTATGCGAAATTATTTTGGTCACTGTAGTAACAAAAAAAATGATTGAATAGAGAAATTACAAAAGTTAAATATAGTTCTTGCCACACTCCGTTTAACAGGCAAATGTTTATGAGCAAATGAGGCGGTAAAAAACCTAAACAAACAAATAAAAATATAAAGACAGTCGCCTGGCTACCACAACAGGAAAATTTTCAAGAAATCTAACATTTTGTTTTCAACCAGCCATTGTAACACAAAATTTTTTCTACCTCAGCCGTTTTCTTACAAGAAATCTAGGGGATAAACATAACGAAAATCAACCCTAGAAATACTGCGATATCAACAATCCACCATATCTACAAGCTGCCCAACTAGACTTCATATCTACAAGCTGCCTACGTAATTTTTTAGCTCTGGTGGCATAGCAAAGAGTTCTGCTTCAATTTACCTGATTTTTACGTTCGTGCACTAGGTGATATAAATGTTTATTTAAATATAAAATTACGCTCTTCTGCGAACTTTCATCCTAGTGACTTTCCTCCGAAAAAAAAACGGAAGGTGAGTACTGGAATACTGAGGTCAATCATACCTTTACAATTTCAGGTTGTTTAGGGCTAAGAAATTAATTTCATTAAAAGTATGGAATAATTGACAGGTTATGTTTTAACACAGATTTTAGGCAGCAACTAAAAGTAATTCTTTGCATATAATTTATGGTTCAACTAAGAAATCTATGTCCAACAATGACAAAAGAGCTGACTATATTGAAAAACATCAGGAACTTTGTTGAAGGACACTATCGATTGTCTGGCTACGAAAAGCATGCTTCCCCGCAAATAATCGTTCACATGCCGAAAAATAGTTGGAAACTTGCATCAACAAGCAGCAAAAGAATGATATCGCGAAGGAAAAATAAAAGAAACTGTTTCTACTATTTTTCTTGGCCAGTCCTTGAAATTAAATCTGATATCAAGCCTGATTTTTTGAACAAATTTTCTTGCGTTAAGCCCCGTTTCAGTAAAAACATCGTCGCCCTGTCTGCAGACATAGAAACTATGTTCATGCTTGGTTAAAGTCGATCGTAGAGAAAGACGTTTCCTGCGTTACCTGTGGTACGTTAAAGGAAAACTCGGGACCAACCACAATACGTGTCACATCTTCAGAGCTACAGACCCACCTTGTGTTGCGTGCTTCGCACTCAGTCGTTAGGCACTTTAAATTGAAGACAAAAATCAGCTTGTAGCCAAACTTGTTGGCAGATTTTTTAACAAGGAGGATTTTTTCATCTCGACATCAACGCTCCAAAAAAAATTTCAGATCATGTCGGATAATCAAAAATTTGTCTTCTCCGGAGGGTTTTTTAATGGAATTTTTTTGATCAAACTTCGCAAGAAATCTTTTGAAACTTTTCACGTGCGTTGAAAGCTCATTGACGGAGCCGAAAAAAGATCTAGAGATCTCCACGACTTCATCGACGCCCCAAATCAGAGTTGGAGTTTTCGGCAGTAGCGTGTCTTAAAATAGCATACAAGGCCACAAAAATTCGATAAAAAAATTTATAGATACAGCAAGAATCGCTCCACAAAAATGTTTGACAATAACTAACTTGGAGATGCAAGCTAATTTGGAGAAGCAAGATGCTGTCTACGGAACTAAAATGGCTCAATTAAATGTGGAAAAGTCAGATTACAAAGTATGCAATCAACAGAGATGAAGTTAGACAGCACTACTGTTCTGTATGTGTTGAAAACGCCTCAAACTTGACACAAAATCTTCCTTACCAACCGACTCGCAAAAGATTTTGGAATTTTGCAACCCTTTTAATAAAAATACGTTCCTTTAATGTAAAATTCTACCAATGACGGCACTCGGGGTTGTGCGGTTAAGCAAATAAGAAAGAGTTCAATATCCTGGTTGCAGTGATCACCTTTTTTGAAAGGCTTGAAATCAATGGCCGTAACAAGGTCTAATTCAGCTAAATCAAACCTCAGTGCGGATGATGCTTACTAGTAATCCTACTGTTCAAAGTTGATACACGGACAGACCGCTAAAGTTTTGCGAATTGAACAGACTCATTCGCTCTGTTGCTTTTTGCATTTTGGTCGTCGACAAATTTAGGAAGCGTAGTTTTGATCTACAGTTGGCTCAGTTTGCGAAAGTTTTCGTACATTTACTTAGTGAAATTCTGAAAGGAACCTGATTTTGCGTAGAAAACGCTAATTTAAAAGGGAAAATACTTATCTCCATCTAGAAGACGGCAAACTTCATGCCCTTATAACGACCGCAACCAACATATTTGCGCTCGTGGTTGATTGTTCAATGCATCACTCTTGATAAGCTCAAAATCTAGCTTCAATCTAGATAAATCCAAGTACGTCGTCAAATTGGAAACAAACAAGCACATAATATTTCCATGGAAAACTATTACTCTTTGCTGTCGTTCACCATAACGCAGAGTATATGAAAAAGCTGGTAGAATGCTGAAAAAAGTTTCTTCTTTGCTTATGGCATTTCTCTCAAAAAATCAGTTACTCACAAAAAATTATTATCGATTTTACACAAATGGGTTGTACTCCATAGAATTTTTCCTAAAATTTTCATTATATTTTCAGATATATATTTCTATTTATTTCAAAATCATACCGAATTCATATCGGAAAATGCGTCTTTTTTTGTCACTGCGAAAAAAATTCTGAAGAACTCAGTGAAAAAAATTATCTGAAAGTACTGATCTCAAAGACACACTAGCGCTCATGGAATAAGATACGGATTGGTTTTTCAAACAGCCAGCCGCGCGAAGCTTTGGTGGCAGCTGGGAAAGAGTACGAGTAATTTAAATCTTCAAGTTGTCTCTGTGTTTTTGATTCTCAACCACTGCATGATTACACGCTGAAACACTTTTTTTGTGAAATCTAATGCAGTAAGAACTCACGTCCATTAACAAACATTCATGCGGACATCAATGACGCATTGCGTCTCACTCCGAATCTTTTCCTTTGAGGCAGGTCTTCAACCAATGTTTCCTTACAAATCAGTCACTTTTTCCAAATCGTTCAAAAACGCACAACTTCTCGCGTAACAATTAAGCAACCGTGAGTGTCTTTTCCAGACAATCAAACTGGGAGCAAGTGGAACCTGGTTTCCAAGAGCTGGGAACTCGATGACAAAATCACGAGGTCTTTGGTCCCTCGCTAAGGTTCTCGTGGTTCACGCAACCAAATTGGTGACCCTCCAAAAAAAGTAGAGCTAGTAATTAAACTGTCTAAAGTCTTCACCAATGATTAATTTCCATTGAGCTCATATCTTATTTGCACTGTCAACAAGCCCATTTTTTAATTGCCATATATTACAAAGTTTTTTTATTAGCCATGTTACTTCCTTGTTCCCTTTGCCTGAATTAAAATAATCAACAAGTTTTCCCAACCTAGCTTACCTCATCAGTTGTATTCACCAGAAAACATTGTTTGCTACACTTGGAAATTGGGCGCCATTAACAGATAGCCATGATTCTTAGCTTCTGTTTACTTATTTTGTACGTTCTTGATTTAGATGTTATATATGCTGAATTGATTAGAAACTTATGCGGTTTTGCCACTTTTCGTCAAAGTGAACTCCATTCAAAAGCAACAAACGAATTGTGAGCATTGAAGTACGGACAGGACAACAAACATAACTTTCTTTACAATTTCAATTAATTTGTTAAAAGGAAAATAACCTTATTGAAAGTACGGAGTTTTTGAAATGACATGTTTTTACGCAGATTTTAGGCATTTTGAACAAAATTTCTAATGCTTTGCAGATATTTTTCCGTGAGCTCTTTATCAAGGATCTAAGAACCCACGATATGAGAAAGAAAAATAAAAGAACTAGATCAAATAGGAAAATGCAGAAAAAAGAAAGAAAGATACAAGATAAAAAAGTCAATGATGATAATTAAAAAAAAAATTAATCTACTTATGAACATATACAAAGATGTTACAGTTAATATTCAGCTGAAATACATCAAGCTACTCCCTATAATCCATCATTTTAATTAAAAACTAGAAATTGTTCTTGCATTTCTCAAAAAAAATTTCGGACAAACACAGGAAGCTTTAAATTAAATTTACTCACGCTAAATAGTTCCAAAAGTTTGTTAGTAAAGGCTATTCATAGTTCAAGTTTCGTCATATCCTGAGCAGTTTTTTTATTTTTTTCTTTAGATATCCTTAACAATCTCTCTCCCTTTCTTGAATTTAGGGAGATGATTATATTAATTTCGTCAAAGTTTTGACCAATCAGAGAACAGCAAAGTCAGAATACAAATTCTCAGTACAGAACTCCATTTATAAATTAGAGGTATTAGATAAAGAAGAGGTTGTTAACTAGACCGAATTATTTCACAAAGAGGCGAAGCCGAGCTTTGCATAACTTGCAAATACCACTTGCTATTCAACACAAATGTAAAGAAGAAGTCAAAAATAATTCAAAATGTTGAAAATAAAATATGTCTATCAAAATTTTTTTTAATGTCAAAAGGAAAAATAATCTGGACAAAAATGATTAGAATTACTTTTGAACATTGAATTAGCAACTGAACAAATTTACTAACCAAAAAAAAACAAA